CCAGCAGCTCCTGGGGCAGGTAAGCAGAGCTGGGTTTGAAGAGCGAGCCGGTCTGGCTGAGGGTGGTCACAACGGCACCTCCACTCTGAAAGGCAGGCGAGGAACAAACCCTGAGAGCTGCAAACACGGCACTGGGTTCACAATCAACCCGCCAGGCACCTCCTTGTCGGGAGGTGGAGCCGCTGGAGCGAGTCCAGAGCGGGCCATGGAGGTTCCTGATGGAGCCCCCCCTGCTCTGGGGGGGTTCACCTGGAGAAGGGAAGGCTCCAGGGAGACCTAAAGAGGCTCCAGGAGAGCTGGATTTGGGACAAGGGATGGAGGGACAGGACACGGGGAATGGCTTCCCACTGACTTAGGGGGATGTTGGAAAGGAATTCTTGGCTGGGAGGGTGGGCAGGCCCTGGCACAGGTTGCCCAGAGAAGCTGTGGCTGCCCCTGGATCCCTGGAAGTGTCCAAGGCCAGGCTGGACGGGGCTTGGAGCAACCTGGGCTGGTGGGAGGTGTCCCTGCCCATGGCAGGAGGTGAGACTGGATGAGCTTTAAGGTCCCTTCCAGCCCAAACCAGTCTGGGATTGTGAGATTCTCTGATCTTACATCAATTCCAAAATTCCATAAAGTGGACTAATGATGCTCCTGACCACGTTAACTCTGCTGCTGCAGGCCTGTGGGAGCACAGGGAATGCACAGCTTGTGCTCCCAGGGCTGTCACACGTAAACATTTCTTACCTGCAGTTGTTTTTCTATGCAAAAAAAAACAACTGAAAATGCTTTCAAAAAGGGCCTTTAAATCTGAAGCCCGACCGCTGGAGCTCTGAGCACCCAGGGGACTGAAAGAGCAGGAGGATGAGCTGACCTTCAGAGAAACCTCCAATCAGTTAAAAAAACCATAACCCCAAATGTCCTGAGGGCCATCAGACACCTCCCACTCGGGGTCCTGCGCTGGGATCTGGCACAGGAATCGGGAAGTGCTGTGGATTTGAGCTGTTCTCCATCTCTTTGGGTGCTGCCAGAAGGACTGGTGAGACACCAGCACTGGTGGGGACACCAAGGGGGGCTGCAGGACCTTTTGGGGGGGGTGGTGGCTTTAATTGCTGAGAGTGACACCCCCAAAGGGCTCAGCCTGGAACTCACCCAGTCGTTCATCACCATCTTCCTCAGGTTGTGCACGAGCGTCAGCTCCTCTGGAGAAACCTGGGGAAGGTTTGATGCCTCAGGGTTGGGTTTTTTTTTTGCCAGCAGCTTCTGCCTGACACAGGAATCCCCCTCCCCTCCCTCCAGTTGGCCTGGGAGGGTCATCTGTGTCCTCCAGGCGGGTTTTTTCCCCCTTGGCTCCGCAGCTCTGACCCCACAGGGGAAACCCCCAGGCCTTTGCTTGGTTCTGACAACACCCACCAGCTCTCCCACCTTTTAGGGCGGGGGGTCCCTCCTTCCCTAAAAACACGGGCCTGGCGGGTCCCTCCCAGGGCCAGGAGCATCTCCCAGGGGTCACCAATGACCTGAAGCTGAACAAACCCCCCCCCAGCTCCTGTCCCCTGGCAGCAGGGGACCCCAAACTCATCCTCACAGGGCTCTTGTCCTCCTTCCTGAGCGTGGTGCGGCCCCAGAGCGCGTTGACCCCGTCCACGGCCACGAGCAGGCGGAAGGAGCCGCGGGGGCTCTGCTGCTTCAGCTCCCTCAGCACCACCCCCACGGCGTCACTGGCGGTCCTGACCCGGGCCAGGCCCTGCGGGGACAGCGGGGATGGGGATGGGTGAGCGGGGCCTGGCACGGGACAGCCCTTGGGGGGGGAACTGGGCTGACACGGGGGGGGGAAAAGGAGGCAGCAGATGGGATGGG